AAGGGATATAGTCTTTTTTCTTTAAGAAAAATAATAAATATAAATATTAAAAAAAAAAGTGAATTTAAAGATAGATTTTCCACAACCTTTAAAATATAATAATAGAAGTAAGATAATGCACGTACTTCTAATACAAAATAAGAATAATAAGTTAGCACCTTTATCAAATTGTCAAAGACATGAATCTCAAAGAACTAAAAGATTTATAGACTCTTATGTCACTCAAAGAGACTAGAAAAATATTCGAAGATGGTATAATACTAAATTAAAATCAATCCATATCAAATTTGGTTTAATATCTTTTATTTTTTTGAGCATGTCATTTGTTTGAATAATTATTACAAATGGTTGCTTCTTTCCTGCTAGATCCTTTGAATCATAAGTTTAAAAAAAAAATTCTTTTTTATTTTTTACTTATTTTAAAATTATATCTCTTACAACTTCATAGTCATTTTTATTGTATCTTTTTTTTCATTTAAAGATAATATGATAGATTTAAAGCTCCTTTTGGATCTAAAAAGAAGCAAAATATTTGTTTTTCATATAATAAATCTTTTTGTTTCAAAATATCTTTGTAGCTTTTAGAATATGCTAAAGTAAATTTGATGTTATTAAGATTGTTCAACAATTCAGTAAAATTATTAATTATACTTTGATAAACAAGAAAAAATAAAAGAAAAAAAAACAAATCTTTTATTGTTTTAGAGTCATAGCCATTATTGCTTGCATTAATATGAACTTTAGTATCTTGTCTTTCATTCTTGAGATTTATGATTTATACAAAAAGCTTTCATTCTACATGTCTTTTAGAAGATAGTTGTCTAAACTTACTATTACCATTGATCAGATCAAAAGCCTTGCTACATAATTTTTGTCTCCAATTGCATTCAAAGACTATCTTTTTTTGGTATTTATGAATTAACTTCAATAGTAACACATGTTAGGCCTTTAGTTTCTTCATAAATTCTTCTTCTTAGACACAAGGAATTAACTCATATTGGATGTATTGTTGAAGTTGTTGAATTTGTTGATATATATATTTTTTTAATTTAGATTTTTTTAATTTTACACTTAATAAAAGTCTTGATGACTTTAGTAATGCAAGTCCTTAGAATTCCATATTTTTTCTTTCCTACTATTCATTTCAAATCACAAAGTTTTGAAAGAGTTTTTGCCTCTATTACATGAAACCTTCTTTTATAATACTTATTTCAAACTAATAATGTTCATTTGTCAATATATGGAATAACAAAGTCCAAATATTTTCTTATTAAACCACCAATGTTCACTATTATGCAATCTAAGTAACTCAAAATTAATTTTTAGATTTTTTTTCTTCTAAAATAGTTATATGAAATACTTCAATTGAAATTCTTTCTTGATAAATAAAATTTGTATCAAATCTAATAATAGTTTTAGGTATGGTGATTGTTACCTTTTACTTCAATTATTAAATTAAATGTTCTCCTAATTCATATTTAAACCAATAGTATCTTTTAAGGATGAATATTAGAGGATTTAATTTTGGATCTTCAATCACCTCTACTACTTATTCATCTTCTTTTCTTTTACCATCTAAAAGTTATAATAGATTGAAGTCAATTTTATCATCTCAAGAAATATTATTGAAGTTAATAGCTTTAAAGAATATAGTTGCCAATATATGTAAAATGTGGTCAACTTAACAATCAAATTTCCAACCCAACAATCAACTACAAATACGTATAAAGTCAAATCCACATCTATAATCTTTATAAAAAACTTCTCTATAAGATATTATTAAATCTACCTATATTTGCTTTCTATCTAATACTTCTTATCTACGTAAGTATGTATGTTTATGACATTATTTCATTTACAAAAACCACACACAATATGATTAGTATTGCATAAAGTTATTACCTTAAACTAATATTTAACTTATTAGTATCAATCTCACCTACTAAATTTTCACATTGGTCATTGCTAATATTTTAAATTGCAACTTAGTGGTGGTAGGCCTCACCTCTAAGTTGCTCCAACAATAACTATTTAATACTCATTTCTCATCTATTTTCACCACCTATTTTTTTTGGTGGTGAAAAATGGTCACCAACGATGTTTATTTCTAATTCTCACATCCAATTTTTACCACCAATTTCTTCTTGGTGGTGAAAAATGGTTACTATCTATATCCATTTGTAAATTTTCCATCTATTTTTTACCACAATTTCTTACTTGATGGTGAAAAATGGTCACCAACCATGCATTTATTTATTTATTTATTTATTTCTGCTCATCCATTTTTACTTTAAATCATATCTTGGTGGTAACAATCACCACCCTATTTCCATTGGTGTGTACTATCCCTTGTTTTTTTCTTTTTAGTGATTGCCACCACCATACACTATGAAGGGGCACTACTCTCCTCATATTATTCTCTCCAGGATTTGATAGATCCCTCGTTGAGAGCCACTACCGCTGATTGCATGACAAAAAACTTTTGTGAAAGACAACCTACCTTGACCGTTGGGATCCCGCCACACCACGTTGTCGGTACGAGGAGAGAGTGGCTACGACTCGTGGCCTCCTCCCTTGCAGGAATTAGGCAAGCTCCCCACCCTTCGACTCCGGGACCGCCTGCTTCGCCATGTCCCCTGGGCTACCTTGCTTGCATCACCAGGTTCTTCCCGTGCTTCCCTGCACGCGTAGCCAAGTTCCTCCAAGCTCACATGCCCGCTCCGATGCTCCACCGAGTTCCCAATAGATTTTGTATCAACCAAGATTGAATCTGGAGATTTAACGACTGAGATGCCTCAATCCAATCGATTAAGTTGGGAGGTTACTGCAACACGTAATGACTAGGGTGTCTGACCTACCACTCCCATCTTAGATTTAGTATCAATGTGCACTTTTGAACGCTCTTTCACCCAGCGCAGTGCGACATTATTTCTGTATGACAAATTTCCCTTTGAGATGCACCATCAACTCTGCGAGTGCTCAGACGCATTGAAAGCTGTTGACCCTTGACCGAAACCGAATTCATATAACACGCGTCAATGTTATGGGTTCAAGTGAGAGCATAAACAAGTGATATCAATCTCCACGGTATGCGCTATCTTTCACGTGCTTCGATGCGAGAGTAACCTGAAGATGATCTTCGTGAGCGGGGCTGTCTTCACCAAACGACTGCCATGCGGGCCTCATCACTCCGAAAGCTGAACAAAATATAGCTCACCATTCAATGAGTAACCTCCAAGTCAAAATTTCTTGTATCGTAGAGATAGTTCCACTCCGCTGTAGCTCACCAATGCGTGCTGCTTGTGTTTCCCCCTCATCGCAGCGACGACGCCAATACACTCACCGAAATTGTGCTCGAGAGAATCACTGCGATCTTATCGAAAGTTCCACACAATTTGACCGCGTTCTCTGATCCAGGTCAGATAAAGCATTGTTTCAGGCTCATCATGATACAGATTCTGCTCCGTTGTAGGTTGCCACTGCACAATTGAAGCTCTAAAACTTGTCTTCCGCAAATCTGTGTTCAATCTGGTCGTGGTGCGCCGAAACATGAGCTTCCTCCGAGGTTCGAAATTTGAATTCTTCCATTTATTTTTCTGATTATGTGGTTTTCGCCATCATTTTTATTTCTTTACTCTTTATTATATGAACAAAATGTATGAAGTCATTAGGATGAGTAAATTTGATATAGAAAAGAATTAGATCTTAAATATATGAATTTTATGGAACTCGGTTTTAAGAATTTAAAAAATAATAATATTATCTACTTGCTTTGATTTGGCTAGAATATTGGTTTTAATTATAAATTTTTCTTTAAGATTTCTATAGACTGTCAAAATACTTCTTTTATAGTAGTCTTAGCTTCTACTGAATCAAATTTTTAAATTACCACCACAATAAATATTCAATCTTCATCTAAATTCTACATATTATTCATTGTTTACAAATGATTTTTGTGAAATTTTTATATATATATTTTTTACAAATCTAACCCCAAATTGATAACTTATAAAAACTACAAAAATTAAGACTCATAAGTTCTTCACACATACTAGTACAAACAATTGTTTTCTACATAACATACAAAATCTTATTTGTGGTAAAATTTTCTGATAAAGTTTTTACTGGTTGCATAAACCTTTTTTGAAACTTTTTATTTTAATCTTAAAAAAATGATTGCAGACATTGGATTAGTAGAACCATGAATAGCAATTTTTGTAATATTATGATAACAAACATTGTAACAATTATATCCAAGTAACAAATACCATAAAATTCAAATGAATTTCATTAACTTTTACTTTTCTTGAAGTAACATTTGGTGTTTGATACCAATAAACTTTTATATCAAACAGCTGTAGATTATATTTTTTTTCTTCCAATAATTCTTTTTTTCTTGTTTCAACTAGACATAATTTTGATTGCATGTGTTCAATGTCTAGTATTATAAAATCTTATTTCCTTAGCTTTACAACAATTTTTTTAATAAAATAATATCACTAGTATCTCATTCAATTTTCTCAACTCTAGAAAATAGGTAATGTTTCACGGAAAATGTCCTAGTAAGTAAGAATGGTGTCATATATAATGTATAACAAATTTATAGTGAACATATAGCCATACAAATTTGCATTTCAATGTTCAACCTTCTTATTTATTTATTTAAATATATAAACACTATATCACCAATAGTTATTTGAAACAATTTGAAAGTTCACAAACAAACATGAGTTGTAGAAAAATTGTTGACTACGAATTTGTAACACAAATATTTGTATTCACGAATTGGCTTCAAAAAATGTGTTGCAAAAAACGCGCTATGAACAATTGTTCAGTTTGTACTTTTACGTTTCTTTTTTCATGCTGTTGTCGAAAAGCATTGCATTATTCTTTCATCCACAAACAGACACCCAGAAAAAAAAAACAACAATAAACAAACAACTAACTGTAACAGAAACAGAAACAAAGAAAGGAATCACAACCCAATAGTGTACTTCAAGTGCAACAATTTCCCATCAACTTCACTAATAAAAACATCCAGTGTAAGCTGCGATTAGCGCTATCTTCGATTAGAAACGAGCGGACTCGTACAAACTGCAAGAAGTAGCCAAACACAATTTTCCGCCTTCGGCATGCTGAGATTCAGATGTTTACACGAGAACTAACGTCTGTTTGCAATGTAGTGAAACATCCAATTCCCGCCTAGGAGAAAATGTTGAAATAATCCTCGTATCGTGTAGACCCACTGGCTGGTTTGGAGCTGGAAGTCTGCACTGAGGGATAAAACGACTGACACGAGTCATCGAAGTATGTATATGAGCTATGGTTAGAGTCATTGTATTCAGAAAATGTCGATCCAGAATGGGCCGACTTTAAGAACGACGGCTGTGAGAAAGGTTCAGACTGTGGGTATGGTTGAGACTCAGAGTAGGACTCACGGTAGGACTCAGGCTGTGAGTAGGAGTAATTGGAGTACAGTGGCTCTTGCGGGTCATAGAAGGCTTGCGGTGCGTCGTAGACGATATTCTGGCCGTGTATTGCTGTTGTTGTTGTTGATTCGAAGGGGTTGTCAAAGAATGCCTGGGATGCGTAATAAGGGAACGTGACGTATGCGCGTTCTTGCCGCTCAACCTGACTTTCTGTCACCATCTCCACGGCGGTTTTTGGTTGAGCTGAATCAGGGGCCGGTTGAGACACTTTCGCCTCAGCGGCCAGGCTTGGAGCAGGCTCTGTGGGTGGCTTTTCATTTGAATCCGGCTTTACTGATCCGGATTCGGGTTTGGGTTTGGACTGGTCTTTGGGTGGTGCGCGCCCTATAAGCTTTGCGAAGTCTGTCGCTTCCGACGTGTCGACGATGGGCTTCTTTTTGGCAGGTGCTGGTTCGATGTTGGTTTTTGCCTTAGGTTCGGATTTGGATTCAGTTGTGGGAGCTACGATTGGTGGAGAGCTTGCAGGAGCGGCTGGCTCGGCAGCGGGTTGCGTCGTTGAAGGAGGCGACTTAGTTCGAGCTTTTCGTTCTTGGGATAGAAATTTGGCAAACCTGTCATAGTCAGTCAAATCGATCATGTGAGTGTTGCAACATTGGGACTCCATTTGAAATAGAGGTGTGTGCGAAAAACAACATGTTGATATCCTAACATAGGTTGAAAGAAATCACGAGCGCGTACGTCTGTAGAGCTTCTCTATTTTTTCCACCATGGGGGATGTCTACAAGTTTCCCAGTACTGAAGTTTCGCTCTTTAACATTCTCATCTAGAAGTTCTTTCGCAGTCTTCACCAGCGAGTCCATGTTCGACTGCGACGAGTCATCGAGCGACTTCGCAGAACCTTCAAGGTTATCTGTCTGCATTCACAAAGCCGATGAGAAGATGAACCGTTTGGGCAGAAGAAAACAATGAATGCTCGTTAGACCCACCTTTACAAACTACTACGTGTTACTCTACAAAGTTCATAGCCACGATCATATCCAAATCAACACATAGTCAAGACTGTTCCAAAATAACCAGCTCTTGTGATCTTGGAGGGATTCAAACTCGAGTTATCAACTTATATTGTTTAAATTATTCCAAGTCGTGTACAGGCTGGTTTCATACCGTTATCCGCAAGTAGTTCTTAGATGAGTCTTGAGTTTCGAAGACGATGTTAAGATTGTAGTCCACCATATCTGAGCTTGCATTGAATACCATGTCAAGCAGCGGAGTTTCGCCTCCATGCACCATCCACTTCACTGCTCCCCATTTCGCAACTTCGTCTGAGTCGAAGGTCGACACTTCATTTCCCGTTCCCAGCGATAGAACCAATAGATCATCATACCCCTGCCACAGTACATCGGAGCAACTATTAAACAAGTGTTTCGTTAATACGAAAACAAGCGATTCAGATGATCATCAAAAGTTCCAGTGATGTGGGTAGTTATTCTTGGCGTAACAAATCTGCAGTAGCTGCAGATTATCGTTCGACACTTCGGGAACATCATCACGAATGTTCCAAGATCAAAATGCGAATTACAATGAAAGGCTCACCTGGTACTTTACTCGTTCCGAGCACATTCCTCCGGCACGAACTTCCTTGATGGCTTGAGTAATCGCGACATACGTCTGGTGGAGCACAGACAATATTATGTTAAATTCAATTGCGAAGGCTTAATCCGCATGGAGTATTTCGTTTTTCAGTATGGCAGACGAATAGATGGATCTCCCAAGTAGAAAGAAGGGAAGAACTGTGTTTGCAAGCATGATGAGTATCATTCCATCTGCATTACAACGAAATCGTTAAGTTGCATGTCATCGAGGCATCCTAGGGACCAACCGGGTTATTCACAGCGACGCCGCCATCAATCATGTTGAATTCCCTGCTAACGTTCTGTGATTGATCGATGAGCGTAAAGCTAACAGGTGGAAAGTACGTGGGTGCTGCCGAAGTAGCGCGGCAAACGTATCGCAACGGCGGATTTTCGAGCGGATCTGCTTGCGCCTGAAAAAAAAAAAAAAAAAAAAAAAAATGCAAGGCATCAGAAACACAGGGTGTACCCCAGCTTTGCACCTGGTAGAAAACGCAGACGTTCACTCGAATTCCCGACACCTGTATGTGATCCAGTCTGCTACAACAGAAATGCAATAGCAGGTCTTTTGTGTCATGTGTTTCGTAAGGCAGAGCTATAAATGCAAACAAGCCAAATTGGAATAATCTCTCTGGATGCACACACCTTGTACATGCCTAAAAAAACTCTTGAGGCAGGATAGATTCATAGCCTGCGGTTAAGTCAAGAGGACTACTGTAATATTAAAGGACAAACGTACCCTAGCCGACGAGAAGAATACTGGTTGCTGGATCTTGATATCAAAGGCAGGGATGATCACATTCGTAAGCATGCCTCTAAGCCACGTGTTATCATCGAAATACTCCAATAAGAGGCTATCCAAATCATCCGGTTGGTATTTTGGCCCCGTAAGAGATTTCAAGTTTTTGCGAATTTTTCCAAAAGGGCCCCTGTGTTACAACGGCCAACAAAACATATCAACATCAACAGTGACGCTTCGACCCAAAACCGAAGTCTGCATGCCACTGCCGTCAGTTGTGACAACTCGGACCAGTTGAAATCACAGAGCATGCATCCACTTGTAAAGCTTCCTGATATAGCTACCTGGTTCGCCCTAGATACCATGAATGCCAAAGAGAAATACCTTGGTCGAGGGAATATTCTAGTTGCGAATTTCTTGTAGAGTTGAGTGACTTCAGGACAGGTGAACATGGGACGTTTAGGATTTTCTTTGCTGGGAGCAGCAAGCATCGCCGTAATCAACCCTCCCGTACTAGTTCCAGCTATTAAGTCAAAATAATCCACGATACGCGCGTCTGAGCCATCCAATTCCTGGCGAACAAACCGGCACATAACCATAAGAGTCCTGATATCGAATTGCATTGGGGAGCCATGTGTGCCTTTTCAAGATCAATTGAATAGTACCGAATAGCTAAGACACATGGTTCTGTAAAACAATGGAGAACCGCATCAAGATCATTCATGGCAATAGATATTACAATGCACTACCGTTTGTCCCGCATGTGTACGAAATGTCAATGTTGAGATACACTATAAAGGAGAGGTTCTAGTTCACCACTTCCTACACTACACCCGTATTCCAGAGACTTCTTTAAAGATGTCGGATACAAGGAACGTGGAAATCTGGGATGAGAATGTACCTGCAAGCAAGCTTCGAGTTCTTCAAGAATAGTTGAAGGTATAACTCCCCGCACACCGCCACCATCAATGCTGAGAATCGTAATTCGTCTACCCCAAGACCCTGTCGGCTCCGTCGTCACAAATTTTCCTGGGGTTCCCGGGTGTTTGGTCCCCAACGATACTCTTGGTGTGCGCGGGGTTTTCCCACACTGAACATCGTGCCAGTGAGTGGGATGCTTGAGGTGGCGGATAGATAACGAGGATTGCCAAAGAGGATGGGACCAGCATGACGAGTGATCATATGCTGCCCCATTCTGCAAATCAAGCTCGTTAAGATACACGGAATTTGTTGTATCCTTCATGACTGACGCCTCAAATTCATAACTGGCGCTAAAAACTTGCTGAAGATGTTAAAGGATTGCCAGACGGCTACAACATGTGAGAGTCCAAGAAGGATCCTGCCTTCAACTACACTACATCCGGTTGAAAAAAAATATTACTGTCGCCGAACATAATTACTAGGACCTCTGACCAGCTCCAGATTAGCCAGTGATAACCCGCCAGAACATACGCCAAATTCGCAGAAGTATGACGATATAAGTGCTATATTTAGCATCAAAAGCGACTTTGCATCACAAAAGGAACACAAACTCTACTCCACGCTCGTACCAACCTGCAAACATCAGCCACAAGTTTTGAGCTACAGAACCACGTCAGCATTAGCAGCCAACTCGGATTGATCGCTAGCCTCTACACATGTACACAAGGGGGTCCAAAAGACAAGAAAAGAAGACTATTTTACAGTACTCCAGTGGTGAGCCCCGCCTTGCCCAGTCTGGAAGCAACCTACAAGGAGTGTGTGAAGTTTTCAGTGCATGCACAAAGCTTCCTGTGATAATTTCGATGCTAAACAGAAGGACGGGTAGACAGAAACATCTGCTAAATAATGCAATTGTCAGATGAGTCTGAATGCTAGCCGACACTTCATAATTTTTTGGGTTCAATAGCAACGCTCCAAGCAGCTTTCATACTCTAGCTAAGGTGTGCGTAACAATGCCTAAACTTTTGTGGCTCTAGACTTCGGGGAGACGAGAACGAGTGTGAGCAGGATTTTGGGGAACATGTACTCCATAGACTGGCGAATTTGACTCAATTCCAAACTTTAGCAAGTGAGATCCCATTAAACTTCAACAGAATTGGTCTCGCTAGCACCTTGTCTCTGCAAACCACATTTTGTGCCTACTCAGTCCCTGAGTACTCACAGGAGGAAATTAGACAATTCACACAGCCTGTCTGCGTACTGAAGAAATAATCGTTTCTCGCTAGCATCGGAGCAAAGTCCAAAGGGATGAAGGAGACCAGCGTTTAACATGGACTTTCATTCTACCAGACTATTACCAAATGCACCACGCAGTCAACTTCACCTTCATCCTATATACTCCCGGAAGGTGCAAATTTGTGGGAATCTCCAAGTAGCTTGGGAATTGAACTCAAATCTCTATTTAAGGATCCTCAGTAAGGGCCTAACAAATAGCATTCCTATCTACCGCAAGTAAGAGGCGAGAAAAGACGTCTTATCGCTATCTGTTACGACTACGCATGAACCACACAGCAATTGCAAGCAATACAAGTCTAACTGCCGTGCTTCCGCAATCCCCTGACCCAAGTCCACTCATTCGACTCCTGCAACTCCTATGCTGAGAGTTGAATCAAGAGTCAACGACGGATACAAAGCTATGACGACATTCAGCGCACAAGAATCCAACCGTTGCAACAGCAATACGAGAAACCAAAATGTTGAGCCAGGGCTCTCCCAACCCTGCTAGACAAGTGTGAGCACCCTCCGCCATGATCCGAGTCGCGAGTCGCGCTAAATCTCAAACTCCAGTGACTTGCACGCGATCATCCGAAACAACTCCAATACAGTCGGCATCCACCACAATTACCAAATTCTGAGCGCGCTCTGCAAGTCGGGATTCAAGCGAACTTCTTCCTCTCCTTCTCTTCAGACTTGGAAAACACATAGTTCGTTCACCACAACACGACAACAAAAATCAGTCGCTGCAACGGTCTAATCGGAAAAGAAAAAAACATAACGTTCACAACCACATCGAATCACAAAGCAGTCTAAAATAAACGCCATTGTTCCTCGAGTAGACGATGATGCCGATGACGATGATCCAGGAAGCAGATTCGGAGGCACGTCGGGGCTCCGAATTGGCCCACATCGAACAAGTCCGAAAGTGCTAGGTTCCGCGATACGTACATACGGTCCTCCTCAGAGGCCAGCAGCCGCGATATCGTATCTTATAAGGATACGATATAAGTACACTGAGCCCCCACTAATAATGCACTAATCTTCTGTCGGAAATGAACAGAAGTCGTTGATGAAACTTTTGTGAGGACGGAGTCGAGCCCTAAAAAAGTTCCCATCCATGTGGCCATGGGCTTTTCCCTGACCCTGTACAAATTCTACAAAGCTCACTTTCTTACAGTGATAATAATTTGATTTATTGCTTAATTTATTACCAAATATTGAGTTTCTTGCATGTCCTCGCCTTTCATGCATGTTTCATGCATATCCCAAAAGCCGATTTTATGAAGAACAAAAAAAACAAAAGAAAAAAAGGCATAAAATGATGGAGCATGTAGATAGATATATATATATATATATATATATATATATATATTGTCATATACACACACTTGGAGATACTTTGAAATGGAAAAATAAATAAATTTAGGATGATATGACTAATTAGCCACAAGCATTACACAATAAATTACAATAAAGAAGCATGATATGGAAGTTTAATTATTGATATTTCAGAAGTTTTGCAATATTTTTTGATCTTGTTCTAAGGGTTGTTTAAAGGTTCCACTAATCTTGTTTAATTGCATTGGAAAATGTATCCCTCTCTTTTAGCACCTCTAAAAAAACCTTTTTTTCAGAAAGTTCAAATCAATTTTGAAAGTTGAACCAATGGATTTCTTACAGTCATATATTTATAAAATGTTGTCATTGATAATTTTTTGGGGATATTTTAGTTTTGATGTTTCTAACTGTATTCCATTTTGCATGTTCAGAATTTGATCTAGTACTATTTCTCACGTCCAAAAATGAACCCAAAACTTAGGGAATCATCAAAAATGTATATTTCATTCTTAAAATGTTAGCTTTCTGGTATAGTTATTCAAAGACAACATTACATAACAAAACTTTTAAACTCACAAATGTTATCCTTCAAAGAATTTTGTCATTCCTGATATTGGAGGCAGTACAAAACACAAGTATTGATGCAAACATGTCAAAACCCTAAGACTGGACACAGAACTTGATGGTCACATTGGGCTTGATTGATATTTCATGTACATATGCACAATACAAAATATGTACTGAAAGTAGAGAGATGGAAAAAGCTCACCTAATGCTGCACCTCTAATGGACAATCATCTAGTAGAGCATTCCAGGCTTAGGGGGTAGTGGGTTCTGCAGCACATGCTTTTACAGGGGCTGAGCTGTTTTGTTTGATCCCAAGCCTTTGTTTGTTTGGTTCAATGTAGTTGGCCAACCATTTTTGTCCAAAACAGAAACCTAATTGGGATGCAGACAACAATCTTGTAGGACCCAGTGCCCTCATCACCTGGCAACCATGTCACCATTCTGTCAAAGCTTGGTGGCCACCAACCCCTTTGATGTTGCCCCCATATTGGATGTGGTCAATTATATGTCTCTATCTGTGTTGGTATTTGGGGAATAATTATTTTCTTTAAAACACATGGATTTTCTATAAACTCATTTATAAAGTCCATTTTTCACCCTTTGATACTTCCTTTCCTTTCATAACTTTTTTGTTACAAAGTGATGATCTAAACCTTTATATTGCATAGATAAATTCTTGAACTATTTATAAACTTTGGCTAGTAAAAAGAAGCAATCTAAATGAACATCATATACTATTTAGGATTTTCAGTTTACAAAATAAATTAATTATCTATTAGAATTTTAAAATTAGATTTATAATTTCTTAATAATATGAGGTTTCAAACACGGAGCTTTTGTAAAACCTAATAACTAGGAATTCAATACCTCATATTTCCAAGGTCATTCAAAAATATCAAATCCAAAATATCATAGTTCAAACTTTATTACTCCTTGATATTTTGTGAAGTATCACTTAATATTTTAGTGACATATCAAATGATATTAAGTTCACCTAACATGTCAACTTAATATTCTAAGTCCATCATTTTTATTCTTTTTTATTATTCTTTATACCTTCAAGAAAGATCCCAAGCCTTGTAGATAGCAACAAAGCAGGTGTAGAATAGGTATTAGTGCGTTTCTATAAGATATTGATAAAATAGACTAATAGTCCATAGAATAGTCAGTTCAAGAGGATGGATGTCAAGGACAAGAACATGATAAAAATAAATAAACAAGTGAGACTTCTCTCAAAGAAAGATGATAAAATAGAAATAACTTGATATGCATATTAAGAAAGAAACTGGAATAGCTATTGCCAAAAGCCAAGAAAACTAGAGACCCTTGAAACTAAACTGGAAGCAAAAAAAGAATTGACAAGAGTGAAGAAGGCTTCACTTTTGTCTCTATATATACTATCTAACTAGGGGCTACGTTATGATGTTTTATAGGACCTCCATTATGTGTTGACTTTGTAGGACACATGCCTTGACTTACAAGGCAAGTTTTCTACGTGTGGGCCACATAGTTAGCTTGGTCTTCAAGTTAAAAACATATGTGGCACATGGCCAACTTGTTAACCACATTTCTAATCCAAAAAGTCAATTAAAGATATATATAAAATCAAAGCAGCATCTATGAAGCTTCTAGGAAGTTTTTATAGTAAACATTCTAGAATTAACTTACTTTTACCTATTTTTACTTACTTCTATCTATTTATACATGTAATTATTGACTTACATGCATATGTCCATGACATTATCCTCCCTTCTAGGAATGAGTTCCATGAGGAGCGATCATCATATGTTGAGGAAATCTATGATGCGACAAATTATATTCGCCACATATTCTGATCTTTGTTCTCTTCAAAGATGATTCATAGGGCCTCTCAACTATCGATAGTATCTCTTACCAAGGCGAAAAGACCATCCAATTATTTGATTGTTGTTGAGGCTTTCATAACTTCCTTTGAATAAAATATTTGGACCATCGTCAAGAGTTGTCCCTATCTCTGGTAAAATCACCAAACATTGGGAGTTCTTTCTAAGGTTGTGATACCAAACGCGTTGTCGTATTACGTGCTTTCTTGCTCGAGAACGCGCCGGGCGGCTGGCTGTAGAAGGTAGTATGGAGATTCGCCGATAGTCAAGCAGTCTATCAGTTTTTGACTGCTGGAATATAAACGACTGCAACAATGTACCGTAAATCTATACGGATGCTCTTTGACTGCTTGTCGAAGTCTTTTTTTTTGCCCCAGCCGATAGGTCTCTAGACGTTACAGAGAACCCCGAACAATCCAAACTGTTAATCTTCAATACCCCTTTGTACTTACGATCTTGTATCCACTGACTGTCCTGTTAGATTAATCCAATAAATTTCATTCACTCCGCATACTCAATCCTATAGACACCCCTTTAATCCTTCAATCACAGACGTAACTCGATTTTACAAAACAGTCAAGAGTATTCAAACCCACTTCATTTAAAAATCCCGATTCACCATTACAACACTAACTTCAGCAGCGATTGCCTCAGTCTTTCCAAAACTCTACGAAGAAGAAAAATCCAAATTCTATGTCTTTCCTTCCCCGACCTGAAGCATGAAGCTCCTCTCTCTAATTCCCTTGATCTTCAAAAACCTCCAATGAAACCGAACTGGTAACCTTGCAAAAGCTTGAAAACTAGCTCCCCTCCCCCGATTCCCCGAAAAAAAAAAAACCTCCCCTCCCTAAAACTTTATTCTCTCCTAACCTTATCCTCTGAACTTCTTCAATCTTCCATCTTAGATCCGGAATTGGCTCCCGCCAACAGAGCTTAGATCCGAAATTGGCTCACGTCATCAAGGCCTTCTCCTCCGTTTTTACCTTTAAGAGATCCATTTACCATAAACAACGTTCTCTGAAACGGCACAAAGAACAGGACAGCCCGAAAAAAAATCGAAACCCCGTAATCGGGACCACATTGAGTCGCCCGACCAATTTAGGTCCCATATTGGGGTAAGATGCCAGTAGTAACCTAGACGTAATTGGGTCAAATTGGTCTTCGCGTCAGACTAGCTGAGGCCCGTAGTAAGACCTGGATTTTCTCGTAACTAGACTGCATTGGGTTGCCCCACCAATACAGGTCTCATATTGGGTAAGAGGACCCGGATTGGATTCTCGAAATTGGATCCAATTGGCTCTTCAAACCCGTCATGTGAATTGGTCCTTCTCATCCTGCTAACTCCCGTTATTAGAATCGAATGGAGCATTTCAGTATGCCCCGGCTGATTGTAACGGGGTGACTGAACCTGACCACTCAGTATTTGCGTTGGAGTTGGTCGATGCTCCTAATATTCGAGGTAACTGAATATTAATAAAATTTCCCTTTTTTTTTTTTTATTTTTATTTTCACTGTATACTCGTGTTACAACACGACATCCACCCCCTCTGAACCTGTGCATCCTCCGGTATGCACCAATTTACCCAATTGCTGTTTGATTCAGAATATATCCCCTACGTCTTTGTCCAGTTCGTCTTTGTCACCTTCATTATCCAAATCACTTTCATCTTCTTGCTGCGGAATCTCTGTACCTTCATTAAGTTCTTCCATATTCATCTCTGCGTGTCTTCGTTTAAATATTTTTACTCGCTTCCCTACAATTGGTATTTTCAATTTTGTACCATCTAACTCCCGTAATGAGTAAGTCGCATTATCATGAACAGTTGTTACAACATATGGTCCAAACCAACGTTTTGAAAATTTCCGCAAAGTACTATGTTGATTATCCAGACTATTGTCATAAACAAGTACCCAGTCACCTTCCTCGATTGCTTTTGGTCTCAATTGATGTTGCTTATCGAATCGCGCCTTGTTTTGTAACCTTGCTCTTTTTAACCTTTCCAATGCTATCTGGACATCTTCCGTTCTTTGCTCCAATTGTCGAATCCTAATAGCCAGAAGTTCTTCTCTTATCAATCCATCTTCCCATGGTAGCATACTCCAAGTAAGTACCTTTTCTTTAA